GAGAGAGGGGGGATTGGATGTAAAATTTAATACATATGGGGGGGGGGCATTATTTGTTCATTCCTTTTTGCAAACTGGAAAAGTAATGGAAAAGTTATTAGAGTTCAAATATAAATACTAACATTAGAATAAAACTGACAAATTTATCAACTCTAAGTTGTTCTGATCTATGAACTGCTGTTTTCCTATCTGTCTTGCAGTAGGAAAGGAATACCTCTGTTATATATGTTAAAACAGAGCTAGTTTATTTGCACTAGGATTTAATAAAACAGGAAACTTTAATTAAAAGTTACAAAAGTAGCACTATAATGTTATTCAATGAAAAAGAAATGGGATGGAGACTTTTTTCAAGGGGGGAGTTAGCCTTAATATCATCATTATGTGAGGGGGGGTTTGAAATTAATTTTTGATTAATGAGAGGGGGGTATGACTTAGTTTTGGGGCCCACCCATTTTCCAGCTCCCCCTCCCCCCACCCCTCCAGGTAATTATTGCACAGTCCCTTAATGAGGCTACACTCTTCTGACAATACCGCTGACTCACCTCTTGGTATATTCTGGGCCATTGCACTCGACAAAGCCATTCATCATTATTCATAATTGGTTGGCTTGATGTAAGACCACTAATTTATATGCAGTGTGAATCAGTTTGATCCCTTTCAGTTCACGCCACTTCTTTACCTACTAAGGGTGATCGACGATGAGTTCCTTGATGACCCATCCAAGAAAACGTTAGTCGCTGCATGAACAATAATAACAAGATATTGTAAATTCTTGTTTGGGTATGAAATTAAAAGTCGCCGGTATGTTTATTTTAGACAATTCATCTGCAGCAAAAAAGTCGGGGAAAGAGAAATAAAAGAAAAAGATTTAATTTCGCATTTCACATTTCCTTAAAATTTCACATTTACCCTCGAAGCTTCGCTTCTCGGCCAATATTCATTTTTCAGACAATATCTCAGGCGCGGACATTATTAGTCGACATACCAGGCGCCAGAAAGGGTTTATTTACTAAGTGAACATTAAGATCTGCATTGATCGAAGATGACGTGTGAATGTCGTTCGAAATAATGAATGTCTTGGAACTACTGATCCGAAGTTCTCTTACCATAGACCAGACATTATCAAGTAGCAAGCAAGTGCAATATATAACCGACTTAAAAAAATACATGTAAGCAACTACATGTATAAAACAAATTATTTCTTTGCTTACCCACTGATTGTTGTTCCCTGAGCTTTTTGGAAATATTTTTCGTTTGTGTTTTTCTGAGCAAGTGGTCAAGCCTTGTACTGATTTAGATTGAAGTTCTTGCAGTTTGTAACTTCAATGCTGATTTCACAAGCGATTACAAGAACAAATTGACTTTAGGTAGTTCTAGAAGCACGGTAAGTAGACCGAATCTTTGATTCGCAGTCTTTAAGACATAAAATGTTGATAACTTCTCGACTTGTACCTGACAATTAACCACTTAAATTTTCAACAGGGGGGCATAGCTCAGTGGTAGAGCATTCGACTGCAGATCGAGAGGTCACCGGTTCAATCCCGGTTGCCCCCTTACAATATTGTTTACCCGAACTTTTTTGAACTCAATAATACTGGTACCTGTTTAAGCTAAGGCCTTAGTTATCTGAATCTCCATCTCTAACTCTACGCAAAACGCCAAAAATGTCTTCTTTTAGTTTCTGTGTTTCTATAGAGTGACAAGAATCACAGCTCATGCTTTCTGCAATCTAAAATTGTACACTTTTTACTTTTACCTATTTTAAGTTACGCAAATATTGAAAATACTTAACTCTTAAAACATTTGATTTTACATCAAAACAAAAGTCTGTTGCTTCGCCTTGCGGCTTATAAGCACTTTTTGGATCGGGGAGCAACTGATGAAAAACCTAGCAAAATGATTTGTTAGATGCTGCACTAGCCGGGAATCGATCCCGGGCCTCCCGCGTGGCAGGCGAGAATTCTACCACTGAACCACCAGTGCTCGCTGGGAACTCACTGCACAATTTGTGAATCATGTAGGTCTCTCCAGCCGCAGGTTTCTCTGCTCTACACACCGCAAGACAAATTTGGCGACGCGAAAAGACTCGCAATACAAACAATTGCAAGTTGTTGAGTGTTGTTAATCAGGCTACATCCTTCTAACAATACTGCTAGCTCAGCTCTTGGTATATTCCGGGCCATTGCACTCGACAAAGCCATTCATCATTATTCATAATTGGTTGACTTGATGTAAGACCACTACTTTATGTGCAGTGTGAATATTTGATCTATTTCAGTTCACGCCACTTCTTTACCTACTAAGGGTATTCGACGATGAGTTCCTTGATGACCCATCCACGAAAACGTCAGTCGCTGCATGAACAATAATAATAAGATATTGTAAATTATTGTTTGAGTATGAAATTATAAGCCGTCGGTATGTTTCTTTTAGACAAATCACCTGCAGCAAAAAATTCGGGAAAAGAAAAAAAAGAGAAAAAGATAAAAAAAACTTGAGGGGGCAACCATTCAGTCCAGCCAGGAGCACTGAAATATTTTTAGGACATTATTCTACTATGAAAATACCAGGAAGTGATCGTTAAGGTCTCAATTGATCGAAGATAACGTATGAATGTCGCACGAAATATAATGAATGTCTTGGAACTACTGAGCTGATGTACTCTTACCATAGACCAGAAGTTATCAAATATCAAGCAAGTGTAATATATAAATTATTTCTTTGCTCACTTACTGATTGTTGTTCTCTGAGCTTTTTGGAAATATTTTTCAGCAGGTGATCAATTCTTACACTGATTTAGAAATTCATGCAGTTTGTAACTTCACTGATGATTTCACAAGCGATTACGAGAACAGATTGACTTCGCGTAGTTCCAGAAGTAGACTGAATCTTTCATTCGCAGTCTTTAAAACATAAAATATTGATAACTTCTCGACTTGTCCCTTAGAATTAACCACTTAAAATTTGCGTTAAATTTTTATCAAGGGGGCATAGCTCTGTGGTAGAGCATTCGACTGCAGATCGAGAGGTCACCGGTTCAATCCCGGTTGCCCCCTTATTATTTACCCGACCTTTTTAAAATTCCATAATAATGGCACCTGTTTCAACTAAGGCCTTAGTTACCTAAATCTCCATTTCTAACTCTATACAAAAACGCCAAAAATGTCTTCTTTTAGTTTCTGTGTTTCTATAGAGTTACAAGAATCACAGCTCCTGCTTTCTGTAGGCTAAAATTGCACACTTTTACTCTTATCTGTTTTAAGTTACGCAAATATTGAAAATACTTAACTCTTAAAACATTTGATTTCACATCAAAACGAAAGTCTGTTGTTTCTCCTTGCGGCTTATCAGCACTTTTTGGACCGCAGAGTGGGCAACTGATCAAAAGTCTGGCAAAAAAATATTTGAAATACTGCACTGGCCGGGAATCGAACCCGGGCCTCCCGCGTGGCAGGCGAGAATTCTACCATTGAACCACCAGTGCTCGCTGGGAAGCTCCTCCACTATTTGTGAAACATAAAGGTCTCTCACAGCCGCAGGTTTCTCTGCTCTACACACCGCAAGACAAATTTGGCGACGCGAAAAGACTCGCAATACAAACAATTGCAAGTTGTTGAGTGTTGTTAATCAGGCTACATCCTTCTGACAATACTGCTAGCTCAGCTCTTGGTATATTCCGGGCCATTGCACTCGACAAAGCCATTCATCATTGTTCATAATTGGTTGACTTGATGTAAGACCACTAATTTATATGCAGTGTGGATCAGTTTGATCCCTTTCAGTTCACGCCACTTCTTTACCTACTAAGGGTATTCGACGATGAGTTCCTTGATGACCCATCCAAGAAAACGTTAGTCGCTGCATGAACAATGATAACAAGATATTGTAAATTCTTGTTTGGCTATGAAATTAAAAGTCGCCGGTATGTTTCTTTTAGACAAATCACCTGCAGCAAAAAAGTTGGGAAAAGAAAAAAAAAAGAAAAAGAAAAAGATTAAAAACTTGACGGGGCAACCATCCAGTCCAGCCAGGGTACGCTGAAATATTTCGAGGAGATGTAAATGAGATGATGAGACGAAAATATCAAGAAGAGATCGTTAAGATCTCCATTGATCGAAGATAGCGTATGAATGTTGTTCGAAATTATGAATGTCTTGGAACTACTGATCCGATGTACTCTCACCAAAGACCAAACAATTATCAAGTATGAAGCAGGTGTAATATATAACGTTAAAAAATACATGTAAATAACTATAAAACAAATTATTTCTTTGCTTACCTACTGATTGTTGTTCTCTGAACTTTTTGGAAATATTTTTCGGTTGTGTTTTTCTGAGCAAGCGTTCAAGCCTTATACTGATTCAGAAATTCATGTATTTTGTAATTTCAATGATGATTTCACAAGCGATTACGAGAACAAATTGACTTTAGGTTGTTCCAGCATAACACAAACAGGACTGAAACTTTCATTCAAAGTCTTTAAAACATAAAATATTGATAACTTCTCAACTTGTACCTTGGAATTAACAACTTAAATTTTTCGCTAAATTGTTATTAAGGGGGCATAGCTCAGTGGTAGAGCATTCGACTGCAGATCGAGAGGTCACCGGTTCAATCCCGGTTGCCCCCTTTCAATATTATCAACCCGAATTTTTTTAAATTCAATAATAATAATAATGGTAGCTCTTTCAGCTAAGGCTTTATCTAAATCTCCATTTCCAACCCTATGCAAAAACGCCAAAAATGTCTTCTTTTACTTTCTGTGTTTCTACAGAGTGACAAGAATTACAGCTCATGCTTTCTGTAAGCTAAAATTGTACACTTCTTTCTTTTAGCTTTTTTAACTTTTGTGAATATTGAATACTTAATAATTAAAACATTTGATTTTACATTAAAGCAAAAGTCTGTTGTTCCGCCTTGCAGATTAATATTATCAGCATTGCACTTTTTGGACTGGGGAGCAACTTGTGAAAAACATAGCCAAATGATTTGTTAGTTAATGCCCTGGCCGGGAATCGAACCCGGGCCTCCCGCGTTGGCGGGCGAAAATGCTACCACTGAACCACCAGTGCTCGGTAACTCAGGTCTCTCACAGCCGCAGGTCTAGGGCTCTGCTCTACACGAGTACACGCCGCAAGAAAAATTCGGCGACGCGACAAGAGTCGCAATGCAAACAAGTTGTTGAGTGTTGTTAATCAGGCTACACCCTCTTGGTATATTCCCTACACCACTGCACTCGACAAAGCCATTGATTATTCATAATATAATTGGTTGACTCGATGTAAGACCACAAATTTATGTGTAGTGTGAATTTTTCATGTATCTTAGTTCACGCCACTTTTTTTACCTACTAAGGGTGTTCGACGACGAGGTCTTTGATGTCCCATCCAAGAAATCGTCAGTCGCTGCATGAACAACAATAAAAAAACATAGTAAAACGATAAGTGTCCGCTGTTGCACTGGCCGAGAATCGAACCCGGGCCTCCCGCGTGGCAGGCGAGAATTCTACCACTGAACCACCAGTGCTCGCTTGAAACTTCATGCATAATATTTGAGCCATCTAGGTCTCTTACAGTCGCAATTTTCTCTGCTCTACACACTTCAAGAAGTTGAGTCGGCGAGTCGATAAGAGTCGGAATGCTAAAACTGAAAAGTTGTGGGTGTAAGTGTGATTTGGTTGCACCCAATCAACACAGGTTTGCGTACATCCTAATGACAATACTGCTGGCTCAGTTCTTGGTATGTTCCCCATACCACTGCACTCGACATAATTGGTTGACTTAATTTGAGACCACTTATCTAATGAACAATATGAATATTTGATCAATATCAGTTAAAGTTTATATCTCTTGTTTCTATCATTACGCCACTTTACTCCTACTGAGGGTGTTCAACGATAAATTCCTTGGTGAAATTCATATCCAAAAAGATGTCATAAGTCGCTGCATGGACAATAATAACAAAGAAAAATGTAAATTCCTATTTGGTTACATGTAAAACAATGCGTATGTTTCTTTTGGACACCTGCAACAAAAAAGTTGGGGAAAGGAAAAAAGATGAAAGGAAAACCAGTGGACTTGAGGAAGCAACCAGCCCGTCCAACCAGAGTACACTGAAATATTTCGAGATGTGTCCACTGTGAAAATATCAAGAGGTGATCGTTAAGATCCCCATTGATCATTGAAATGTCGTTCAATTCGAATTAATGTCTTGGAACTACTGATCCGAAGTTGGCTTACCATAGACCAGAAATTTATCAAAGTATCAAACAATTGCAGTGTATAACATTAAAAAATACATGTAAATAACTATAAAACAAAATATGTCTTTGCTTACTGAGTGTTGTTCTCTGCAACTTGCGACGCATATTTTACGCCAGTTAGGATTTTTATGCAGATTGCTTGGCATTATTCAGATTATTCTCACACGCTACATTTCGTTTCATTGTTATCGCCTGAGTGTTCAATATCACATCCATGTCCAATATCACGATAACACTCAACTTTATGCAGATATTTTGTTGGAGGAGTTTAACTAAGTTGTTATCATGTTTATATAGCCTGCTTCATCCGCAATTTTCATTTATCAAGGACATTGAAGGTATGTTGGTACTGTTAAAGCAAATAACACGTAATGTGTGTGTCTGGGATGTTATACAGTGTATTGAGTTTGCGGTTGAGCTCGGTTACGACGCAGGCTTATACGAATAATAATTATTCACTCTGCTTGTAATGTTTTGGCGTGTTGATAGTGTTGCCGTTAGTGCGTTTTTTCTCTGACTCTGGTTTTTCTTTATTACCATCTTACATGGCCTCAAATTATATCAGCGTGTAAATCAGACCAGTCGAAAAACTGAATTTGTCAGCCATTTTGTCCTTGTAATATCTATCGACAACATCGTCAGAGCACACATACAACAAGAACACAGTAAACCACCTCACCGACAATCAGTTGCAATTCAACCGAACTGACTTTTTATATATTTAAAAAAAATAAATATTAGATTTCAACTCATTATTTATCATTATTCATCATCCAGTACATGTCAGTGACAATTGACTGCGCACAGTAAAGCGAAAACATGTCCTAACTAATTCATAGCGAAAGCAAACGACTGCTAAATTTGTTCATGTTTCTCGTATGAATGATTAGAAAGCCACTGTTTGTTTAAGCTTAGCGAAGAAAATTTTAAATTTCTCACAGCATTAGTAACTAGCTGCGAGTACTGCAAGTTTCAGATATTAAATCTTCTGGTCGCCCGCGCTACACCAACTGCAAAATTACAAAATAGTGGCATGACTGATTTAATGCTGAATCATCCCTCCAAACAGTTTTGAGGTGCACGTGTGACGTCACCTAGTTACAAGTTCAGTCAATCCTTGCACACGTTTCCCCTTATATTTATAACCTAGTTTCTTGTCTGACTAAACCGTCAGTCCGTACTGGGCGCTTGTAACACTGATGGAGAGAAAAAAAGCGACATCTTTTCAAGCACATTTTTAAGACAATAAGATGGACAAAGAACGTATGCTTATTCAAGCGAAAGACGAACGTAATTAGTAATGAATTATATTTCTGTCATATCTTTCATTCAACTTCGCATTTCAATTTATACTCTATGGTACTTATTTATTTGTTATTTATATTTGTTTCTGTGGCGTTACAGAAACACTCATGAAACTAGTTTGGGAGGACGCGAAAAAGCTGTGGAAACAATCTTTCTCGTTCTTCAAACTTTCACTCGTGTTTCTATTAAAATTAAAATTACATTATATTATGAACTTAGTTTCAGTCGACTTGCATTTGATATCGAACTGCCTCATCTTCAACCCAGCTCACCTCTGCAGTCTGATTAAAATACAGTCATGAAAATGCCTCTTACTACCTCACAATGTATCATTTTTTGCAGGTATTTCACACGAATTGCATCCAGTACTTATAAGGGGGAATGGCTCTGCAGCCGTTTCGAGACGAACAGCTGAACTATTTCAGGTTTACCTACCTTGCGATTAATGAATTTCCCAAGGCCTTACGTCAGACATTCAGATCCATGTGGGACAACAAATTTGGACATCTCCCTGGTTAGCAACGCTGGGATGACTTCATTGCGGCGAGAAATTTGTTTCTGGTTACAGAGGGTGGTAAAACCAGAGTTCCAATACACCTCCCATTTGATGAATGGGATTGCAGCACTCTGTTTCAGGCAACTATCTATGCCCGAACCTTCGCTTTACCAGACGGCAAAGGGCACCTCAGGAACCTAAGCCATTTGTATGTGAAGTCCCGCAAATTACCGCGTGGCAATTTCCACGCATCAACAAAAAGTCCAGGTGGAAACGATGCCGAAACTTTTTCACTTTCAATTGATCAACTTCGTTTGTTAAGGAATTCAATTTGTCGCAAACCAAGTGCCGAGATTGATATAATGACATTTGACCAGTGGGTACAACATGCTAAAGATGCATTTAAAGCTCTTGGAGTCAAGACAGACACCGTTGATACCATTGGGGACATGACTGAAGCTGACTTTCCTACCGAAAAAGTTCGTGCATTAGAGGAAGATATCAGAAAGGCGTCACAGGCAGAAAACCGGTTTTTAAGGGAGGAAGTAGAAGAAAGACTAGCAGATATCGCTCAATCAATCCAGGAACTACAGGATGGTCTTAAAAGAACAGAAACTCAAAGGAAGGAAGAGTTCCAGAGCCTGAATGACAAGTTGAAAGAGAAAAGTGAAGAAAAACCCAAAGTAGATCAAGACGCTACCGGGAGAACAACATTAGGTGAATAAAAGAAGTAGTGGTCCCCAACTAAGAAGTCAAGAATGGGGTTTAGATTTACTCTTAGCTTTAGGGTTTCGAAGGGTTAGTAAAACGTCCAGTCAGGGATAATGCATTTGAATCAGTAAACCTTTAAACGGTCCAAATTTATAGGGGTAATTAAATCACTGTCTATAAGCGAAGGCAACATAGTGTCGTAGGAGGTGCAGTGGTCTCATGGTTAGTGCGCTGGACTCCGGATCTAGCACTCTGGGCTCGAGCCCTGGCTGGGGACATTGTGTCGTGTTCTAGTAGAACACACTTAACACCCACATTGCCTCTGTCCATCCAGGTGGTGGGACTAGCATCTCATCCAGGAGGGAGTAGAAATACTCCTACTACTCCTAGTCGCTTCATGCTACAGAAGCCGTAGTGAGCTCCAGCGGTAAAGACCACTTGGCCCGATCCAGAGTTTATTATTTGTTTACAACCTCGTATCGAAGCAGCATCTACTCTATGGTTTTTAATTTTCTTTGCATTTTTGGTCCTGCACGTGCACTGCCCACACGTCTTGTACAGATGCTCTTGTTCACAGCACTTGGGGCATATCAGGGGCGGAAGGGGGGGGAGGGGGACGGCGTTGGGGGGTAAATAACATCCCATTAAAGGAGGTTTTTCCTCTATGAGGCTGAAACGTTCAGTAGCTGTTTATTTTCATTCCAGGCAGAAATTTTGATGCGTGAGCTACTAGCTATAGTGCTTTGTAATATTTGACGTCATCATATCAAACCCAATTTTGACATGCAGGTTTTTTTGACAAAAGTTTGTTTGTTTTCTCTATTTTTGGGATATGCCGGTAAACTGAGTTTCACGGTCGAAGTATGAATTTGCTTCCGGTTCGAGGTCAATTTTTTAAAACCCCATGTTCCCTAACAATGTTTCACACACTAAACGATGAAATTCCGATTTTTATTGATCTTTTAAAGGTGCTGAAGGAATAACAACATCATCCCTCCCTCCTAACGTTCCACACTTTGTTGGCCGCCAGAAGGAATGCGATGAGATCATTGACCACGTAACTTCCGGATGCACCCGAATCGTTTCCATCTGGGGCTCACCCGGATTCGGGAAAACCTCAGCTGCAATCTCTGTTGGAAATCGACTTCTAACTCAAAAAGGATGGCCCATCTATTTTGTCTCATTACGAGGGCTGCAGTCAAAAGTCGATCTCACATCAAAGCTTCTTAGCTTTCTAAAACATTCTGTCACAAATAATCAACCATCTCAGCGTCTGTCGCTCGATGATGAGCTTTGTAGTCGTTTTGCAGAAATTTCAGGTCCTTCGCTCCTAATTCTTGACAATGCCGATGAGTTATTGGAAAGAGTGGGTGCACCAGAAATAAAGGAGCAAGTCATCCATCTTCTTGAAGAAATCTTCAGACGAAACAAAAGTGTGAAATTCCTGGTCACAACAAGGGAATCCTTCGAATACATGAATGTGCGCTTAGAAGGCCACCAATCAGTGAGAATCGGTCCGCTGGAGATCAATTCTTCCCAAGAACTAGTCCGCGAGTTGCTTCCTAACGCAAGTACCCACGATTGCCTAAGAATAGCACAACTATGCGGGCATGTTCCATTAGCCTTAAAGTTATCGTGTTCCTTAATATCTGGGGATGATGCGCTTTCTGTCAGTCAATGTTTAAGGGACTTCATAACAGCTAAAGGCAATATAATTGAGCTGCTGGATAACCAAGATTATCCAAACAGCCTGAGATTGAAATCCCTCTTTGAATCTTCTTTTCAAAGACTCTCTGAACAAGAAAAAGAGTTCCTGGTCTCCCTGTGTATTTTTCCTGAGAATTTCGATCTGAAAGCTGTTGTCGACGTTCTGGATAAAAAATGGATTGAGGCCAAGGGGTTGTTGCAAAGTCTTCGGAGAAAATCTCTTCTTGATTCAAGTTCCAGGCCTGAGTCATTCTCAATGCACACACTTATTCAATCATTTACGAGAGAAAAGGGAGAACGTGAAATGGAGCAAACGTTCCTCAGTTCCAAAGCTCGCTTCTACGACTATTATATCTCGCTATTCGAGAAGCTTAATTGCAGATTTCTTGCAGGACATTCAATGTCGGCGTATGAAGAATTTTATGAAGAAAAGCAAAACATCATTCGGAGTTTAACTGAAAGCTGCTCCAATTCTAGTACAGCAGATCGTGTTTTCCAAGTCTCGGTAAAAGCAGAGCTGTTTCTGGACTCTTTGTTTTGGCTATTGAGGGAGGCAGCTAATTTCAACAAGATTTATGATTCAGCTTTGAAGGCAGCTCGTGACCTTGGGAACGACGTGCTATACAGACGATTACTTGTTTCCAGGGCGTTTAGTGAGATCACTTGGGGAAGAACAGGAAAGACAATGGAGCTTCTCTCTGAAGCCGCGGAAATTCAAGCGAACTCTTCCTCTGTCACTGCTGATGAGAAAGGTAAACGCCTGTGTTACCTTGGCTTTTATCAGCTCGTTATTGGACAGACACAGAATGGAGTCCAGTGCTTGCAGGAAGCTCTTTCTTCAATGGACAACACCACAGAAGGGGCAATCCTTAGAATTCTTGTTTTCCAGGTCCTCGCTGTTTATTATCAATTCAATACATACTCTATCAGTCCAGCTAATTCCTACAGCAAGGCTCTTCAGGAATGCAGGACTCTTCGAGAAGCCCATGCGCACCTACTAGTTCTTCCAGCGATGCAAAGTATGCGGAGAATGACAACAGATGAAAGAAAGACGTCGCCACATACTGTTGCCTTGCTTAATCAGCCCCTAGAACTGCAAGTTATTTTTCTCGTCGGGGAAGTGACAAAGCATTTTGCTCATGTGGACATCAACAAATCATTAGGAAACGTTGTCCTCAAAATGCTAAATGACATTGAATCAGTACTCGACAATCGCGCATCACTTGGTTTGTTCAGTCTCCATCGCATCGTTGTTATCATGCTCGGGATTTTTTGCAAATCTGAAGACGCGCGGATAGTGATTGCCAGAGAGCGGATCCGTTACCACGTAGCAGCACTTGAGCAGTGCAAACAGAAAAGCAGCGAAAAGAATGACAAGCAAAAGCCTGCCATAAGTTGTGAGATGCACAAAGATGCACTAGCGAAGAGTTACCTGGACATTGGTTTCGCCCACCGAGATAAGGAAGATTTTGACTCAGCTCTTCAGTATGAACAACGCGCCCTTGAAATCAGAATAGAACAGTACGGAGAGGATCACTCAAGCACAGCTGATTGCCATCTTTCAATTGGTGCAACACAATATGCCAAAGGAGACTTTCCCTCATCTCTCCACTCAACCCAACGTGCACTCGACATCGCACGGAAGCTGTTTGGAGACGAACACCCTCGCACAGGCTACAGTACAGCGTTTTTAGGGGCTGTACAACATAAGTTACACGAGTTCAGTTTGGCACTCCAGTCTAAACAGCGTGCACTGGACATTAGATTGGAACTATTTGGAGAAGAGCATTCAAGCACAGCTGACAGCTATTATTCCCTTGGGGTTACACAACATGAAGTTGGAGACATAGATGCAGCTTTTAAGTCCCAACAGCGTGGACTCGACATTAAACTCAAACTGTTTCGAGAAGAGCAGTTCAACTCACTCGACGGCTACTATTCACTCGGAATTAAAAAGAATGAACTGGGGGATTTTTCTTCTGATCGTACGGAGTGGTTGGACATTCTGGATTATAAGTGACTTACAAGGGTTTGCACTGATTAATTAGTCCAGCCCCTGAACTCCCCCCTTCCCTCTCTATATAGGGATTAAAACCAGGCAGACGAGAGAGAGGGTAGGATAACTTACACGCGCATGCTCAAAGCCAGGCAATCAGAGTGTGGTGTTGACACACGCGCTGAGGTTCAAATTGCGCGCTTCAGGCCAACTGCGAGATTCACTCCCTTGACAAAGCAATCCTTCGACCCAGAATGAATAACGCTTGTTTAACTTGAAAGATAGGATCTAGGAACCGTGGGAAATCAGCCAGAACTGTGAAAGGGTTAATCCCTTTTAGAAGAAAACGTAAAAATGAAAACGATAAAACCTTGCTGCGGCCGGGAAACGAACCCAGTTCCCGGCCCGCAAGACGAAGGAGAACGGAATTCTACCTGCACTAGTAAAAATAGGTACAAATGGTGGGATCCTGCCCTAGCACATATAATCAACTAACAAATGCCAGATAAACAACTTCACTTGCCATTTTGGATTACGTAAAGAACGAGTTCTAGAATCAGCGTTTTCTGTGTTAAGGAAAAAAGAGCCACTTTATCTTGCCAAATCAGAGTGTAGCTGGCTCGGTTCTTACGGAAAATGGTACCGGGTTCGAACCGGTGACCTCTTTGATCTGCAGTCGAATGTTCTGCCATTATACGCAAACTCAAGTCTTCAAACGTGGTGTTCACTAAATCTAGTTTTTGATGGCATACACTACGTTAGTATTACCGATTTAGTACACTTACTGAAGGTGCTTTGTATATTTAGGAGTAGTTTAAACTCTACGCTTTCTAGAAATGAAATATAATCTTGTCGATTTAAATTACTCAGCCTTCGATATTACAAGTACATTTTTGATAGTTATGGAGAGCGACTAGCAATGATAATATCGACCATCACATCGATGTACAAAATCACCAATAGACCAATTCGATATCAAGTAAAATTCTTGCTTGACTTCGAGACCTAGGGGAATAAAACAAACGAAATTACATCGACGTTGAGGGAAGCGTGGCTGAGGAATTAACGTCTTTTGTTTTATTTCTCTAGACTTCGGAGCCAAGAAAGAATTTTAATACATTGAAGTTGGCCCATTTGATTTAATTTGTTGTATATTTTGATTTACTTCTTCAACTTCAAAACTGGTACAGTAAGTTTGTGAGTCGCCTGTAGACCGATAATCATCGTGCGAACGACTTAGAGTAGTTTTCACTCGAGTGTCGAATGTAACTCAAGTTTCCATTGATTTTGCATTACTACGCCGCTTAATGATTGGTTAAAAAAAGTCACACCACTTTCTCAATCATTGAGAAGTTAAAACATAACCAATTGTGCCTCGCTGCAAACGTTTTCCCGTGCTTGACGTCAGCTACATGTATTAATTTGCTTCCAGTTTTGATTGGTTCATTGGATTGCCTGTGTCGTTTGTGATTGGCGAGAGTGATTCACGGCTGAGGTTTTCGTTTTACAACACTCAAACGAACACCACTCTAGCGACGATCGATCACAAATTGACAAACAACAAAAACAGAAACCAAGGATCAAAAAGTAAAAATTATATCGTTTATTTCATGATCTTTAAAAACTGGTCCACATCTATCACAATGTCCGGTTGCTCAGTCAGCTCTTCTACGAGTTCGCGCCTCTTCTCTGTTGACGTCATTGACATGTTATTGTGTTGTTGACTGGCAACCTGTTTTTCTGTCGACCAACACCTTAAAAAATAAGTATGTTTACGTGATATCTACACACCTGAGTGATAATTATAAGGCAAGCGAAATATGATTTTTGCCATGACAAAAACTATACTCGACGCTCCACAAGGTTTGCTAAGTTTGCACAACAGACCTCACGAAATCTACATCATCGTTACACCAAGATGCTTAAAACTGCTGTTAATGAGATCACCAGAAAGCTGAAGCCCAAGTGCACACCAAGGGATTTTTGTCCTCTTTTTGCAGGTGTGCTTGGCTTAGGTGATGACGTCATGATAGTCCGGCTTTGTTGATCTGACATGCTGTCTGTGGGATTATTTTCGTAGACGAGACGATAAGATTCACTTGTGTGACCCCTTCGAGAATGCATGCTGAAGTCTCTTGGATCATTCGCATCATCAACCAGATGATAAGCCCACACAAGAAACACTCGAGTAGTCACCTGCAGAAAAAAAACCAACGTATTTTTATTTGCGCTAGCCAAAATCTTTGTAAACTGTATTTCTGCACTTCTCCTATGCAAAGGAAGGGGAGCGGTCGTCAGTAAACTGAAAACTGTGGGCCCGGTGGAGGGGAGGGGGTACTCCCTTTATGGGCTATATGAGTAAGTGCGGCCCCAGAGGATATGGTTTTTCAGGCGTTTTGGTCATAAATAGGGTATCAATTTTGGCCATTTTGGTCATTAATAGGGTATGGTTTAGCACTCTAGTCTTGAATTGGGGATGTTTCTTTGAAGAACTGCTTTTTCATCATTATCAATAAGACAGTCAACAAATAAAAGCCCTTCACAATGCCTTTAACATCGGTCTGAGCTGGGAAACCCATTATATCGCTGGTCTGAAACAGGGTCTTAAAGTGTCTATACGGCCAACAGGGTTTTTGCAGTTTTAGTATCTCTATAATGTGTAGAAAGGTATTCTAAAATAAGCATTGGATTCCGACATTTTAACGCCCTAAAATCTAGCTTTCAAGTTCCCGCTTCAGCCACGCCCAATGAAGTTGACCGTGAGTCAGTGCAAAGAAAGAGTCTGGGTTTCTGAATGGGTGGTGACGTCAAGTCAGGAATTGCCAAATCCTGGTAGTTCAGGTCACTGTTGTTTCAGTAGTGGTTAGGAGTTTTCGTCGACAAAAAATAAACAAACCGAAGTTGGTGAAGCAATGCGGTCGTCAAGCAAGCAAATTAAAAACATGAAATTTTGAGATGTTTCTAAAGTGACGTCATTCGTCACCAATCTTTCATTACGCGGTCAACTTCATTGGGCGTGGCCGATGCGGGAAATTTAAAGCTTGATTTCAGGGCAAAAAAAGTATCGGAATTCATTTTTTTGGTTTGAATACATTTTAGATGTTATAGAGATACCAAAACCACAAAAACCCTGTAGGCCGTATGGAAACTTTAAACAGTGTATCGAATTTTTGTTTTGGTCATAAATAGAGTAGGAAAAATCGTAGATTTTGGTCTTAAACTGAGGGTAAGGGTTTTGGGAAGAGAGTCGCACACCTCCATCCAATTGTTCTGGGAGTACTCACCACCCCGGGACCTTGAGGCAATAAAAATATACGGTAAAGGCGTTAAATAGAAATGAGGTCCACCCGACTGTGAACTGCAAATTAGAGTCTGACGCTGTTGAAATACAGCCTAGTGTTTTGTTTTAGTATTTTTTCAATTTAATTCACGCTGTTTTCTGTGCAACATTGTGCTTCTGACAACCAATGCCGAGAAATAATTAAATACATCGCTTTCGTTACAGAGCTAGTACCTTAAAAAATCATCCTACGTTGTGTCGGTTTCTGCTTTTATATTCTTCATTTTCTATGTAAAGCCGATTAGATCACTATTGATCCAACGTATACTAGCAGGGTCATCGTTAGGGGTTGTTTGCTTAAACATTTTATAGTTTTTTTCGCTTAAAGTATGATGTCAACTGAATGCAAAACTTTTGTTTGTAGAATTTTTGCAACCAGGAAATGTTATTGCCGAGCATTTTTTTTAGTTGTAAAAGAACTTTAAAGTGTTAACGTCTCGTAATCGGCAAAGGTGACAACCGGGCATTTCTGCATTATTTTAGATTCTGTATGACATGTGAACCGTCACGTTAAGTTGCTATAAATGTACGACTGATATTTTTTTTCGCTTTTCAACTTTCAGATAGACACTTCCACTGGCCATTTTAGGTCACAAAAATTAAAATTTTCATATTATAACTAAGAAAGCTTAAACGACTCACGTTAAACTGAATGTCTTGTGGATCATTTGTATCCCTCAAACGGTGAAAACGAATTGATGTTATCCCATCATGTTTTGTAATACCGTCCACTGTGTAGCTCTGTTTTACGTCCAACTCTGGCGTGCCAAGCCCAGTAGTAAAGAAATCCTATTAAAAATGAAACGGGGTTTGATTTATTAGTCACTTATGAAAGGAACCTCTATTTTACATAGTCATTTAGTAAATAGCCCAAAGAAAATACTCGCGCTGATTGGTTTACAATCGTGTTCCTATAACTCAAAACCACAGAACTGGCACGAGCTGTTGACCTAATGACGGCGCGAGCAAAGGGAATATACATTTTGGGGATCAAAGTAAACAAGCTGTTTTCGTTATTTCGTCGCGGAATTTGCTAAAAGAAATAGAAAACACACTCTCCATGTTTCTATCGAGTTATAGAAACGCTCGTGGAAGTTTGGAACTCGAAAAAGCTCTGCAGACTCTGGCCTGTCGGCCCCTGTTTTCGTTTTTTTTAGACATCCACTCGGGTTTCTATAACTCGATGGGAACACGGCACATGTTTCCTATATCTCAAAAACGAATTCAGTTTGTATGGTTGTCATATGTGCCTTAATCTGACTTTGGGAAACAAGTCACTCGGATTCCATCAAAAGGGGGCATCAAAATTATCCTCATCCAAGCATTTATTAACCTTGTAAATAAGAAAACTAGATAACTTCTGGTAAACAATAATAAGACTGTGTAGCTCCTGTGAACAGTGCACATCAACACTAACGAATTTCATTTTTGGCAAACGAAGTTGACATGAGATAACTTACGTTAAAATATGGCGTTCCAGCTACCGTCTGTCCACCAATCACGACATCGTAGTTACTCATATTCTCCGGTGTGGACGCGAAACCAAACCCGACCCAGCCTTCAGCCTTCACATTGACTTCAAAATACAACTCTTCACGGGCTGTGTTGTACATCCACGACACATTAACATTTCCATTATCCAACGATAAGCTTGTATGTCTGAATCCTTCCATTCTGTCACAAAAACAAGCCACAAATACTGCCAGCAGTGCACGCTTGTATGACATCGTGACAAAGAAGTCGCCGATTTAGTCTATGGAACCTCGTGCTGTACTTTATCTTAAACGTCGCAGGCGATTGATTCTTTTAATTCAAGTAGTTAGGATTTTAAGTAACTGTTTACCATGATATGAACTATCAGTGGATCAATATTTCAATAATAACTACGGTGGTTAGGATATTGTTGTATTGGACTCCTCTGGTTCATCAAGACCCTGTACTGCACATGCTCCCTCTCGTGAAAGCTTCTTTGCGTGTTATTCGCCAGATTCAGTGGCAGCTTTTACATTAGCGCGATGGAATCGAGAACCTCTCGGGAGATTTCCTTATCAAATAAACCTTACCAATTTTAAATAAACTCCATTCAAAATTGATTAAACAACAAGGAAAAGCGAAACTGTGAAACATTAAAGAAAAATATTACGGCACGATTGGGACTTTATAAAAATTTCGAAATTTCAAAAGATAGTTATTATTGCAACATAGTCGATTTTAGGACAATTCAAATGCACAAAAGTCATAGAATCTCTCAAAAACTATGGCAACAACTCTTAAATTCGCTCCAATGGTCGCAAATAAAGATTAAGCCGATATCGATCGATATCGATTTTGACGGTCAATATACATTTTTAAGCAAAGCTTAATCCTTAATTCCGTGTTGCATTTAACTTTAGATGTTTCTCGACCAAGGATGTTTCGGATTTTCTTTTTCGTCGTGGTAGCACTGTACACATGTCTCGCGGCTCTTCAAAACGAATACCAGAACTGTGTTCATCTCGATCAAGAAAAGGCATTTAAAGTGTGTTGGACGTACAATGAAAGTTCCGATATAATCAACTTTGCTTTGGAAGTTTCCACGCTTGGTTGGATTGGATTCGGGTTTGCACACAAAATTCACCGAATGCAGAACTACGATGTAATTGTTGGGAAGATTCAAAGTGGGAAAGAGTCGCTCACGGTTAGTTGCTAGCAATTGACTAGATTTAATACCAGTGTTTTTATTGTCATACGCACAAATTACCATTGGTACAGTTCAGTAATTACATTAATACGATATTCAGCATTTTTTATATGGACAAGAAATATTCATTGACGCATGAAATTTGTGGGTTACTGGCAGCGTAGCTTTTCGCCAACCGTGATTCAACTCAAAGATTTCGGCCCGCTCTCGGTTCATTTACTGACGGTTTGATGTAAAATTTAGTAATGTTCAGAAGTAAAAATATTTCGGAGTTGTTCAAATTTTACCCATCTTAGATTGACGAAGTGGATTTTATTAATGATGAATAACAGTTTTAACAATTTGTGCCTCAATCCTTCCTTTAACCTGTAACTATATTCCCTAGCCCATCTTTTCAATAAAAAAGCAAGTTTTATCCATTAAAAAAGGCTAAACTGAAACTGAATTACGAAAATCTCAAATTTTATATTATATTTTATATTTAGCGTATTCGTTTCCTGTTCGCTCTCAGCTTTACTATCGTTTATATTAACAATAATTTAAATTTGTATAGCGTAAATTTCATTTAAATGATCAAATTCGCGTTCCAAAATATCATTAAAAACTAAAATAAAACTAAAAAAAACAATGAATTTCATCAAATTCTTCAGTAATAGCTAATATCTTTTACTATTTTCTACCTTTATCAGGATCGGTTCACTAGTGGATACCAAGAGCCACTTGCTGACCTGTCTCAGGATTATACTTAAACTGGCTTCAATGAAAGCAATGGCAAAAGCTTCCTTGAATTCTTCAGAAAAAGAGATACTGGAGATAAAAAGGACATTGAAATCAAGGTAAAATTACACACTTAAAAAAATTATCTCGAATTTCTAATGTGGCAAGTGCATTGATTGATTTCAGAGCCAATAGTGGAATATGGTTAAGGTCAAATAGTGCCATGGGCCCTTCATACTCCCCCCTCCTCCTCGGAAATAGTGAGACCAAGGCTCAATAATAAATTTTTTTGGAATCAAAAATCAGGTGAAAGTTACGTATGGTAACTTCATTTAATGCACTCTACAACAAGGACAGGTATTGCTTATGTAACCAAGCGTCGTGAAATGTCAATTTGTACTTCAGAATCCGTAACGAGGGTCGTTACTTTCGGAAGTTTGCGGTACATTTTTATTGAGCCGGAAACCGATCAATTCAGTCGAAGTCGGAAATAGCCAACGACGTAGAGAAAATTAAGAAAAAAAAGGGGATGTGATCATTTTCATGACCTGCTTACGACTTACTGTAGCCCCCCTCCTAGTTTCTCTAAGTGCTGAACACTCGACAGGTCGAAGAAAGAAGAAAACATCTCAGGTCTTATTCAATCCAATCGTATCACCTTATGACGATTATTGTTCTTTACAGGACCAAGTGTACTGTTTGTTCTTACGTCCTTCCAATTATAGTTAGCTTCGAACTTAAAGCAATATAGGCAATAAGTGAGAGGATGTTCTCTTAACCGCGAAACTGCGTAAAATCTCTGATAGATGGTTCTCTAGGTTAACGGTTGCTAAGGAAATGAAATGAAATCCTTATTTTGGTTTTGTCTCAGCGAGGACCAATGCTTCTGGTGTACGCATACCACAGTCTGGACTATCCATCGCCTTACAAGACAGAACATGAAAAGCAGGGTTCCAAACCAGTCACGTTGATCCCAGCAGACCCTGGTAAACTTGTGAAACCGACCGGCGGAGTTACAGAAATTAGCATTACCACTGAAATTAACCAGGCGTTAACGAGAGCGAGTTCGTCGGCCAACAACACCGTTGGCGATCCTGATCAGAGATCCTCATCTTCAAATGCTTGTGCATCTGTTGTCCTAACTCTCGTGTTTTCATCGTGTAATCTTATTTTCACAGCTTCAACATCTATTTTTTTTCTCCGCGTAATTTAAATTTTCAACGTGGCTCAATTTGTTATAATTGCTCAACAAAACTCCTTTACTGCGATTTTCATTTGAGTAAGGCGCGACGGAGCTTTGGTGACGAAATTATGGACTTAAAATTACTGTGTTGCCACGGGCAACTTCCCTCTTTTCCAGTGGTAGCAACCTCGTTGCCTGCAATTTCATGCGCTTTGCTGCAAATGACGTCAAAGGCCGATAAGTTGCCACTGGAAACGGAGCCAGTTGCCCATGACAACAGCAGAAGTTGAACGTTAAAACCTGGTCACCAAACTTGCGTCGCACTTCAACTGATAATCGTAGTAATTATTCCCCACACTTAGACAATACTCCTTTGCAATATCACTATTTTTTCTGGCAAAGATGTAAGTAGGGTAGACTAAGTGATTGTATTAAAATTGTGTTTGGTGGACCTGTTTTGCCAAATTGTTTGTGACAATTTGGCAAAAAAAAACTAATAGCATGGCATCAGGCTCTCGAGAATAAGAAAGACCCTGGGAATGAGCTTGCGATACATTCGCGGCCTGATTTTCGATATATAACATGGCGCCGAAGACCTATGCTTCAGTGCATGCTGTTTGTTCGTAAATATCTATGTAGTCTAGACTATAAAAGATTTTACGGCTGGATTGCACAATACCGGGCCACTCATTTACTCCTCTGATTGAATTTTAATGGTTCTTTTTGTTTCCATATGCTTCGTCCTTAGACGCGCTGAGGGATATTTTTAATAAGTGGCCCAGTATTGTAAAATCGCTCCAATTTTACTAAATAACTTCCCCTTCCTCACAAAAACTAATATTTGGTGACGTAAAACATGTTTCGCACCGCGCATGTATTAGTCCTGAACGATCTCGTTAGTGTAACGTTCATTGGGAATGTCAATCAATCACAAAAAATGCGCGGAAGGCATATCATAATAAGGTCTTTTTCGAGCGACTGTTAAAAATCAAGAGACTGTGATCATAGTCTTTTCGACAGGTCACTGGTTTTCCCGGCTTTTGCCAAATTAGAAAAATTGTTCCCGTCGACAGTGACTGGGGTCGGCAAACTAGTTCACTACCCTGTTTAACTTGCTGTTGTATTTTGCTTCATAAAAAGAATGTACTCTTTTATCACACTTAGACTTCACTGAACTGCAAAATAATTTCCAACTTCATGAGCTTAAGTAGGAAAAAACCAAACTTATAAAGCCAAGCACAATCGAAGTCTTTTGAACAAAATTTGACAAGATCTGAGGCTGATCAAGCAGCTGGGAATGGTTTCTTTCCAATACTAACGTCACTCAAAATTTCGGTTCGTGGAAAATACCTTTCATCATGAGTTGGAAAAGCCTAGTCAAGATGGAATGAAATGTTTTAATTAAGGTGCATAATACCGTTTTCTGAATAATCGGCGTTTTTATCTGCACGTACGTATTTTGAACGAGCCTTTAGCTCACTAGGGGATACTTGGGTAGATAAATGATTAATTGATAAAAGATTACGCGTTAATGGTAAACGAAAATACAATAGTGGCATAAAGAAAATTTGCACTGGCCGGGAATCGAACCCGGGCCTCCCGCGTGGCAGGCGAGAATTCTACCACTGAACCACCAGTGCATGTCTGAGCACGCTCGCTTGTGACGAGGGGACTACTGGTTTGGTAACAAACCTGAAACTACTAATACGTAGATATATATAGGAAAAGACCTATCTGAAGTTACAGCAACTATAGCAGTTAAGTTGTTTTGAGTGTCCATGTAATGCACATTTGCAGTGCTGTTGGTTGCATCACTATCCACTTACTACGCTAAGGGTCGCTAAGCGATTGGCTTAAGAAACTCGCGCCACTTTTTCATCCAATTAGAAGTAAAACCAAAACCAATCGTGACTGGTTCACACAAGTTTCCCGCGCTTTGCGTCAGCTACATACGCATTTATAGAATAACCAAAATACTACGCGCGCTCTCATTGGTCGATAGGTGTGTTTAGATAAGAGTACGTAAACACAATTGTGACGTTTAAGATTCGCGCGTATATTTTTGAGAAATATTTTATGAAAGCGAGAGATTACTTTTCCGTGTTCACATTGCCTTGTCTAAACACTCGGAAGGCTGGTGGAATTCTCGAAAGTTGGACAAACCTTCGACTGAGTCTCGGCTTTGCATAACTGTCTCGAATTCTCAAAACCTCCCTCGTGTTTAGTTGAGGCTATGTAAAGACGGAGAAAGTGCCATATTTCTTTTATAAAATATTTCTCAAAAATACGCGCGAATCTTAAATATAAAACTGTTTTCGGTCGACAAGTTTTACATAGCTCAGTGGTAGAGCATTCGACTGCAGATCGAGAGGTCACCGGTTCAATCCCGGTTGCCCCCTATAGTTTTGCTTTATTTTTCTCCCGGCTTTTGCCAAATTAGAAAAATTGTTCCCGTCGACTGGGGTCGGCAAACTGATTCAGTACCTTGTTTTACTTGTTGATGTTGTATTTTGCTTCATAAAAAGAACATGCTCTTTTATCACACTTAGGCTTTACTGAACTACAAAGTCCTTTTCAACTTCATGAGCTTAATTATAAGTAGAAAAAACCAAACACTTATAAAGCCAAACACAATCGAAGTCTTAATGAACAAAATTTGATAAGATGTGAGACTGATCAAGCAGCTGGGAATGTTTTATTTCTAATACTAATGTGACCCAAAATGTCGGTTTGTGGAAACTAACTTTCATCGTGAGTTGGAAAAGCTTAGTCAAGATGGAATAATGAACAATGCCGTTTTTTGAATAATCGTTTTTATCTGCACGTACGTATTTTGAACGAACTTTTAGTTCACTAGGCGATACGTGTGTAAATAAATGATTGATTGATAAGCGATTGCCCGTTAATGGTAAACGAAAATAAAATAGTGGCATAAAGAAAATTTGCACTGGCCGGGAATCGAACCCGGCCTCCCGCGTGGCAGGCGAGAATTCTACCACTGAACCACCAGTGCTTCGTGCTTATTTGTTATAATTACTCAAAACTCCTTTACTGCGATTTTCAGTTGAGTAAGGCGCGACGAAACTTTGGTGACGAAATTTTGGACTTAAAATTACGGTATTGCCACGGGCAACTTTCCTCGTTTCAATGGTAACAATATCGTCGCCCCCGTTGTTGTAAACAAAAATATATCTTTTTATTTGACAATTCAGATGTTTCAACATACATCTTCAAAGGGAACCGTTGAGAATAGACTATTATTAGCTATTGTTCTGATGTGTTTATATGACTTTTTTCGAGTATTTGCGATGAAAAAAAGAAACTATAATCGCAGGATATAAGATGACGACAGCTCGATAAAAACAAATTTCAGTTTCTTCTAAAAGATGTGCGCATACGAATCTTTAGCAAGATAGATCGAAGAGTAAGCGGCAAGCGGTAAGCGGGAATCGAACCCGGGCCTCCAGCGTGGCAGGCGAAAATTCTACCACTGAATCACCAGTGCTTGTCTGAGTACAGTATCTGGTGGCGAGAGGTCTGCTGGTTTGGTAACAAACTTAAAGCTACCAATATGTAGATAGGAAAAGACAAAGCTGAAGTTACTGTAAGCTACTGTAATTAGAGCATTTCGATGTAATTCACCTTTGCACTGCTTTTGGTTGTGTTACTGATTGGCTTAAAAAACTCGCGCCACCTTTCATTCAATCAGAATTTAAACAAAAACCAGTCGTGACTCGCTCGCACACGTTTCCCCGCCCTTTGCGTCAGCTGTGTATGCATTTATCACATAAATGAAATATTACGCGCGCTCTCATTGGTCGATAGGTGTGTTTAGATGAGAGTATGTAAGCACGATTGTGACGTTTAAGATTCGCGCGTATTTTTGAGAAATATTTTATGAAAGCAATAGTTTACTTTTACCGTGCTCATATAGCCTCATGTAAACATTCGGAAAGCTGGAAGAATTCTCGAAAGTTGTGCAAACCCTCGACTGAGTCTCGACTTTGCATTACTGTCTCGAATTCTCCCAACCTCTATCGTGTTTAGTTGAGGCTATGTAAAGACGGAGAAAGTGCTTAATTATTTTTATCGAAAAATTCTCAAAAATACGCGCGAATCTTAAGTATAAAATTGTTTTCGGTCGACAAGGTTTACCTGCAGTTAACTCTCACGGGTTAAAAATAGAAACTTCATTGCCTTGGTGTGAGCAAGGGGGTATAGCTCAGTGGTAGAGCATTCGACTGCAGATCGTGAGGTCACCGATTCAATCCCGGTTGCCCCCTTTAGTTTTGGTTTATTTTTTCCCGCTTTTGCCAAATTAGAAAAGTGGTTCCCGTCGACTGGGGTCGGCAACCTGATTCAGTACCCTGTTTAACTTGTTGATGTTGTATTTTACATCATGAAAAGAATATGCTTTTTTATCACACTCAGGCCTCACTAAACAGGAAAACTATTTTCAACTTCATGAGCTTAAGTAGGCAACATCCTAACACTTTTAGAAAACGGTCCTAAGTAAATACGCGCGCTGATTGGTTAACAATCGTGTTTCTATAACTCGATAGAAACACAGAACTAGCACGAGCTGTTGACGTAATGACGGCGCGAGCAAAGATAATTTACATTTTGATGATCAAAGTAAGCAAGTTGTTTCCCTTTTTTTCGTGGCGGTGTTTTCTAAAAGAAATAGAAAACATGTTCTCCGTGTTTCTATTGCGGTTATAGAAACACTCGTGAAAGTTTGGGAGATCTCGAAAAAGCTGTGGAAACACTCACCTGCGGCTCGTGTTCCCACAGCATTTCTCG